TGGCCGTGTCAGCCTATGTTTCGAGTTTACTAATGGTCATGTCGGCCTTATAGGCCCGTATGTCACATATATTAGTTTGTATATCATGTTGGGTCTTCATATGTTGAGTATTCCCTTATGTTTTATTCTTGTTATCTCATGACGGGTTTTTTTTGGCTCATTTACTCATGATAACATGATAAGAAAGATATGTTACGTTGGTACTCGGTTGAGTAAGGCACCGGGTGCCCGTCGCGGCCCTTCGGTTTGGGTCGTGACAAATGGACATTTTCATTTAGGTGATGACTACCGGATGGACCACCATGATCCAACACACCAAAACTATGCTTGGGTTCATAATTTGTAAAATTCATATCCGGCCGGTATCCCCTGTTAAATGTATGAGCGTTAATACAAATTCAATAGAACAAAAATGTACATCGTAACACAAAGGAATTATGAAAATTGAAGTATACCACTCGTCTTGTGAATTATGTAAAACATGCGGTGATAAGTTTAAATCAAGGGAAACTCTTTCATCCGGAACCTGTCCGGCAACCTCATTGTTGGGAATGTCTTCGACCTTGACGTACATATCCAACATTTTGATTACAAGAAATTCCCGGTATTCATCCGGAGTCCTCAGAAAATCCCTCAAAGTTTCATCATCGTAGATGTTTAACTCCGAGTAAAAAGCAGCCCCTTGCGGAGTGATGGAATACGAATATCTTCCGGTTACTTTAAGTATCACTGAATGTTTCCTCACACTCATTTTTTTGCATAACAACGATATCAATTTATCGTACTCCATTGTAAGTGGTAATTTAACATGACCCTGACAGAGTTATTCTCCATCACCTCACCCCCCAATATAATGAAACTTATTCTACGCTCTTCAGACATTATAAAAAAATGCTTGAGAATTTAACAAGAAGAAAAGATTGAATGGAAGTTAGAATTTTTTGTGAATGGATTTTCCTAAAATCCTAATCCCTTTATATAGGAAATGGCTAGCCAGAGAGGGGGGGAGGGGTGAAATTTTTGATGTATGACACTCTTTAAATATGCGCTATACACATTTGAATTATTGTTATGTCATTTAACTTATTGGTGGGCCCATAATCAAGGGTATATCGTGATGTATTTTTACGCTATACATATAGCGTAAAAATACAGCACGCTATACCTGTCAGTCAAATCGTCAGTATATATAGCGCCAAAATACGCCACGCTATACCTTAATGGTAAAAGTTACCGTTAAGGTATAACGTGGCGTATTTTGGCGTTATATATAGAAAGGTAATTTTTTTACACTTATTTACGTAATTTGAGTCCAAAAGAACCACAATTGGGTTCCGGACTCCACTCACTGACACCCCAAACCATTCATCTTTATTTTTTTACTTGTAAATTTTTGTCACAAGCACTTTTTTTTGTGGGTGGAGGAGAGGGGG